CGTCTTGACAGGATCTAGTTCACGAAACGTAGCTTCTGGAAACTCTGTTAACTGTATAGTGTGCGGAGGGGAGAGTGCCCCTGAGGGTGTGCAGAGTGCCTTCACTTCACCACATCAGTGAGCTGCCAGTCAAGGTGGGATGAACCATCATGACACTGCGCTCCTGAGAACATAAGAAGAGTCTGCTGGGTCAGGCCAATGGCTCATCAAGACCAGCATTTCTAAAACAGGTCCTGAAGCCAAAGGCTACATCGGTACCCACATCTTCTAAAGTGGGATCACTATGGGGGCCAGGATGAGGCAGGGGCACGTCATACACTGACAGCTCCTACTGACCATGGCTACATTCACAACATACATTTAAAGCCCTGTAATACCACTTTGAACAGTTATTGTTTTCCCCAAAGAATTCTGGGAATTGTAGTCTGTTAAGTGTGCTGAGAGTTGTATAGTGGTACCTTGGTTCTCAAACTTAATCCGTTCCGGAAGTCCGTTCCAAAACCAAAGCGTTGCAAAACCAAGGCATGCTGTCATATTGAAAGTACAGTGGAACCTCGGGTTGTGGACATAATCCGTGACAGAGGCACGTCCGCAACCCGCAGTGTTCGCATCCTGAAGCGCCGCATCTGTGCAGGTGCCAGTGTGATTTGGTCTTCTGTGCATGCGCAAAGCCTGATTTAGCGCTTCTGCACATGCGCGAGCGGTGAAACCCAGAAGTAACCCATTCCGGTACTTCCGGGTTTCCCATGGTCCGCAACCCGAAAACATGTAACCTGAAGCGGCTGTAACATGAGGTATGACTGTAATGCAAAACAGATTAACCCGTTCCAGACTTTTAAAAACAACCCGTAAAACAGCAATTTAACATGAATTTTACTAGCTAACGACACCATTGATCCATAAAATGAAAAAAATAATCAATGTACTATAAAATAAATAAGGCAGTATTGTAGATGATAAAAATCATCATCCACACAGTCACAAAAACAAATTAACCAGAAAAGCCTCAGAAACAAAAACGCAAAATAAATAGCAAAAACAAAAGTGCCAAACTTAATCCATTCTGGAAGTCCGTTTGACTTCCGAAATGTTCAAAAACCAAGGCGCAGCTTCTGATTGGTGCAGGTGCCCTGGAAACAATAGCCGACAACTGCAACGGCCATTTGGCTTCCGAAAAACCTTCAAAAACCGGAACACTTACTTCCGGGTTTTCGGTGTTTGAGAACCAAGGTTTTTGAGAACCTTAGTGCCCTGCTACCAAGTTTTAGGCCTGATGACTGGCCACACAGAGGTAAAAGTGGGACTCAAGTTGCCTCCAGATTCTCACTATTTTGTGTTTGCCCAGTCAAAGTGCTCTGTCACCCCAGTGCAACAAATTTGCTTAAAAAATAAAACTAAACAGCAACAGTCTTTTGCATGGGGGAAATGCACTGAAAAGTGGGGGATAAATGGGAAAGCATAGCCACAAAATAAAGAAATCAGGATGAATGCTCATTGTCATATAACCTCCTTGCAAACAAACTATAATTAAATATTTAGTGAAGACACGACACACTCTAACCTCTGTGCAAGCTTTGTGAAATCAAATCAGGATGAGCGCTCAACAAACAAGTTTCATTTGAGCTGGAACTCTCAGTGGTTTAGCGCCAGAACCTGTTCTCAATATCGGCACGGAAGCCATAAATTTGTGGCTTTATAAATAAGAGTATTGTGGACATGTGCATAATATTTTCTCTCACTGCCCTAACTATCCTAAACAAGCTTGGGGTCGGAGGGAGTTTGTATCTGGGCAAGCGTGTACATCAGAAGGGCTCATGATAAGACTATGGTTAGATTAAAGTGCTGTGTAAAGGATCATTTTTTTCAACATTTGTGCCTTCTTACCACTTTAGTGATCTGTATGCCTGTGCTTTGAGTCCCTAATCCCACAAAAGGTGACACAGTTGGTCTGTTTGTAGCCATCCAAATCCCCAATGCCTGTTGTTAGCTGTTCTATTGAGAGCAGTTCACTGTTAAAAAATCTTTAAACCACACTCCTTCACAATTGGATTATACTGTAGCGAAGCCAGTCAAAGAATCGTTGCACCCACCTCTTTTCTCGAAAACTGCTCAGACTTCCGCGTATGACATCACAGGCGATTAACATAAGGCAACCAGAAGCCTTTGCGACTGCATGTCAGCTTTGTAACTAAGAAAAAGGGGAACCCCCGCCCCATTGAATGAAAGAGTGGCTGTGGATATTTTGAGATGCAGGGTATCAACTGATCGGTACCCGATCTTTTGCCTGGTTGGCTGCTCACCATAGCCTGATTAATTGTTGCTTGCTTGGGGGCCGAAGGGCCTTGCAAACGGACGTTAGCTTTGCGCAGTGGCAGTATCGTAGCCAATGAGGTTAATCCGAGGCGCGATTATTGCTAATTGAAAACTTTTCCCAATACCCCGCCATGACGACTTGAAATATAGTCGGCAATGGCAATTTTTGACAGTCTCTACGGAGACTGAATTTTCTGGTTTAAAAATAGATTAATGTAGTCTGTCTCTAGTTGTGAGTCTTGCAGTATAAGAAGGTGTAGTGCTGTTCGATTATCAGTATAATGTTGCTTTTTATTTAGGGTGCTAGTTTGTTCCTTGGGTTTAAAGTTGTAGCTGAGTTTTCTTAAGAAAAAGTTTTGTAAAATCCTGAAAAAAAGGTAATCATACAAAGGAAGTAGGTTTTTCCCATCCTCATGTTTGTTTTGGATCACAACTCCAGGTCAGAGATAATGAGAGTTGTAGCCCAAATATTTGGAGGGCACCTGGGTGGAAAGGGCAGATGCAAAACATTTGCTGTAGAGATGTTGGCTCAGTTTTAGGATGATAGAGTTGTAGAATGAAATACTGTTAAAGAGGCATTTTCTGACTGTAAATATGTAATTCCTGCATTTCAAGGGATTGGACCATGTTCCCTTCCAACTCTACGGTTCTATATATAAATTGGTTGTCTGTTTGTTGGCATCAGTGTGTCTTGGGAGCCAAGTCAAACTGTCACGGCACCTGAGCTGCCCAGACAACAAGACTAAGAGGGGCGTCTCAGCCTTGCTGATGTGGTCTAAAGGAAACCAGAGCAATACGTTTGGCACCAGCTTGGCTGCCGGAGCTGCCGGAGGGAAGCGTACAAGATTCCACCCGACCATCTTAGGGACTCCACTCTAGATTTGCACATAGTTTCTTGTATTTTTGTGTGTAGTCCCAAGTCAGACCACGAGTTCATCTAGCTCAGTATTGTCTACACTGACTGGCAGTGGCTCTCCAGGTTTTCTGATGGTATCCATTCCTATCCTTACCTGGAGCAGCCGAGGATTGAACCTGGGACCTTCTGCATTCAAAGCAGATGCTGCACCACTGAGCTATGAGTTACAGTGTGCTGTGGAAGTTAAGAGTGTTGAACGAAGGCCTTGGGAACTCAAGGCTTCTCTCAGGCACAATGCAGAGCTCACTGGCAGCCACCCATCTCTCAGCCTAACCTACCACATAGAGCAGGGGTCTGCAACCCGCGGCTCCGGAGCCGCATGTGGCTCTTTTACACCTTTGCCACGGCTCCAGGGCGGATACTAGTGAGGGGAGGAGGTGCATTGTGCGCCCCGACACTCCCCACTGTGGCGGGCGCTTTACTGGCTGTGACGTCGCATGGGGGCGGTGCGTGCATTAGTCACACACCGTCCCGACGTCACCTTCCTGCCCACTGTCAGATCATGGCTCCGGAGATATATTTGTTTTAAATGTCGCAATGGTTTGCGGCTCCCAGTTTTTCTTTTCTTCGAAAACGGGTCCAAGTGGCTCTTTTTGTCTTAAAGGTTGCAGACCCCTGACATAGAGGCTGCCGCAAAGATTAAAACAGGGAGGGGGAGAATACTGTAAGTCACCTTGAGGAAGGCCGGAATGCAAATCATAGAATTGTACAGTTGGAAGCGATCCTGAGGACCATCTAGTCCAACCCCCTGCAATGCAGGAATATGCAGCTGTCCCATATGGGAGTCGAACCTGCAACCTCGGTGTTATCAGCACCCAGTTGAGCTATCTGGAATGTATAACACTTAAGAACGCAGGGCCAGAGCTCTTGTGATTGTTGACCTCCCAGTAAACAACAAGGACATCTGAAGTAGGATGGGGAGGGGATGAGGGGCACACATTTCAACAGGCCCGTTCAACCTCTCTCACCACCAAAGGAACACAAGTGAACAGCAAAGAACCTGCACGAGCAACACTGACACCAAACCCTACATATATTAAGTAAAATAGAAACATCGTCACCCGACCCCCACCCCCACCTCTTTCCCCCTTTACTTCCTAATGTCTCAACAAATGAAGCTGATTTGTAAAAATGTTACATGGGGGGGAAAAACGAGAGAGAAAGATTGCACGTACTTTTGTAAATCAAGAAAATCTTTAATAAAAATACATTTTTTAAAAAGTTATGCTGGAGTGGAAGGAGCTGTCCCATTATTTACATTTATGTCCCACCTTTCAATCCCGGAGCTCATGGACAGCGCCATCACCCCCACGTCTCCCATTTTTTTATATACCGCCCTATACCCAGAGGCCTCAGGGCGCTTCGCAGAGCAAAATCAAAACATAAAACCGCAAAAATCATCCCCACAACAACCCTGCGAGGTAGGCGAGCTTGTGACTGTATGGCCCAGCCTAATGACGGCGTGCGTTCCTTTCTTCCTACCCCGGAGGGTCGAATATTAGCCTCACACACATCCCGCGGGTGGCCGCTAGGAGGCGGTGGCGCTTCTAAGCCTATTCGGGGGTCTCTCTTTCTCTCTCTCTGTATAGATTTATGTCGCGGGTTGGTTGGGAGTGTGGTGGTGGTGGGGGAGGCGTGCGCGTACCTGAGTTCGAGCTCGCGCCCGCGTGAGGTGGTTTGCTGCTGCTACGGCGGCGGGAGGGGCGGTTTGTGCGTGTGAGCGCGCGCGCGAGAGAGAGAGAGAGAGAGAGAGAGAGAAGCGAGCGGGGCTTCTCCGGGACGCGCTGCCTGCGCGAGCGAAGGGAAGAAGAAGAGGGGAAAGTTGCGGCTGCGCTTCCCTCCAGTCGAGCGGGGAGTGGCGGCCAGGCGGCAACATGGACGACCTCGGTGAGCTTGAAGGGCGGGAGGGCGAGGGAGGGAAGGAGGCAGGCAGGAGGTCCGACATGGGGCAACTTCCCCTTCCCCTCAGGGTCGGACTCCCACCCCCCTCCCCAAACCGCCGCCAATTTCCCTCACAATTTTGTCTCCCTTTTCCTCTTCGGACACTACCCCCCCCCTTTCTCACAACTCCACCTTTCTTCTTATTATTTGAGTCTCCTTGGTTTAACTAATACCTATTAATTTGGACAGTATTTCACAGATACCTTTTTTTAAAACGTTCCAAAGAAATGTGAAAGTTTTGCTGCAGTACTTACAAAAGGATTAAAAAAAAAATAACAGGTCTAAAATATGCCAAGAAATGCTGCCAAGTATAAAACTTGAGGAACCGTTTTGTAGGTTGCCTGACAAAAACCTTAGCTTTTACCTTGTTTTGTTATGTGTATTTATCACGATTATCATTGTGGAACATTGGAAATTGTACACTATAGCTTAGGGATTGTCCTTTGTATGTAATTTTACAAACGTTTCATTCCGCAAATAAACAGTTTCTTTTTTTTCTTTAAAAAAAAGAAAGAAAAGAAAGGGGAAAAAATAACTCCACCTTTCTTTACTTTTTATTGGGGGGGGGGGAAATCCCCAATGGTGCCTTCCATTATGTCCTCTCAACACCGTTCAGGGATTTTTTTTTAGGGTGGGGGGAAAGAGGCGTGTAGGTCCATTATGCCCCCCCCTGTTCCTTTTTGGGAGGTCCCCCTTTGCTTGTTTGGCGGGGCCCGCTGGTCTACTTTGATTTACCTTTACTGTACTTGGGGTGTGTGGGAGGTGTCTGGTGGGGATCTATCACTGGCCCATTTTGAGATTTCCCCTTACTGTTTTTATTATTTATTGAATTTATATACAGTACAGCCCTATACCCGGAGGTCTTAGGAGGGAGTCCCACGGATCCATTATCTTTCCTTTTCGTGGGGGTAGGAAGGGTCCCAGTAGTTTATTATGTGCTTCCATTGCTGGCTTTTTTTGGGGGGGGTGAGTCCCCGCTGGTCCCTAACTGTTGCATCCTCCAACTTCTTCCCCTTCCCTCCTCCAGCTTCTTCCCCTTCCCTCTCTACCAGCTTCCTCTCCACCTTAACTGGGCTCTTGCCATTTCCTCCCCCCCCCCAAAAAAAATATGAATTTCCATATTGTAACATCACCCTCCATAAAAACCTCTCCGCTTCACGCCTCCTTCCTCTCACTTTGCTTAAATTCCTTTTGTTGTTAAATTGATTCTTTCTATTCCTTTTGTTGTTGAATTGATTCTTTCTTGCTCCCTCCCTGCGAAACCCTCACCTATTTGCTATATCTCCTCTTCACCCTGTGCACCTTCTGTGTTCTCTCTGCTTCTCCCCTTCTCTAAGTGATGTCTTTAACTTCTTTACGCACCCCACTTGAGTCTCTCTCAGAAGTCAGTAAGGAAGCAATCTCCCACCCCGATTTTCTGGCCGTATTTGAGAGAAGTGCTTGACGCAAGTGTGCCTTCAAGTACATTCAGATACAATTTGGAGGTCGTCCTTTTCTGAATCTTGTGTGTAGACAATAAAGGCAGGTAGCTGTTTCTGTCCACTAAGAAAACCCCCAAGCTCAGCAGCAGCACGCAGCATTTTATTATTATGCCTGCTAAAATGCCACACAAAGTAGTTGACAAACTTTTTAAACATCCCGAAGCACAAATGTTTTGCTTTGCAAAACAGCCTGAAGAAGTGTGCAAGGGAAGTTGTGAGCTTGTGTCCTACTTTGTGCATCCTTTTTAGTCTTAATAAAGGTATTCAAACTCTTCCTGTTGCTTTGAGGTTTTATTTCATTTATAGGTTCTGCTGACTGTGAAAGTTGTGTAAAGTTTGGCTGCCCCTTTGGATATTAAGTCTGTGATTAAGTGCACAGTTCCTTGGGCAATTGTGTAAGCATGTTTAGGATCGCAGTGTTACACCTCAGCTATATTTATGCTATGCAGCTTGGGTTATTGCCAACTAAATTCACCTCAAAGGAGACCCATTGACACTAAGAGACTTCAATCAGTCATGTCCTTTAATTTAGGTCTACTTTGAGTATGACATACAACCCCTTGTCTTTGGCAGATTATTTTGCATGTCTTCTCTTCATTCTGATGATGCTTTTTAATGTTCTGGGATTTTATTTATTTATTTTAACATAAATATGCTTCCATTTGTCACATGTCTCAATATAGCATTTTAAGGAACTCAGGTTTTTTTTTGTTTTCTGTACAAAAATCAGCAATAAGTAAAAGTTAGTTTTTTTAAAAGTTAAAACTTCCAATCACCTGATTTTCTTGGTTCCTCTCCAGTTTTCCAGCTTTCACTCACATTCTAGCTACCCTTTCCCAATTCACCTAGGCCCTTTTCCTTGCTGCTTCATCCTTTCATAGCCTCTGTATGGGCCAAGTTTTTCTCACGGCTCTTCCTGCATCAGACCCTTGGTTGATCATTTCCCTTTGTTGGCTGCATTCCCCACCCCCCACCCCATAGAGGGAAAATTTTTGGTTGGGATAACTGAAAATGTGCCCAAGTCATAACCTGAACGTCACAGTATATTTTCAGTTTCTTATAAGATTTGTTTAAATGTTTCTGCTACCTGCACATGTTGCAGTAAATGTCACATTTTTATTTGGGAGTGGCAAGAAGTTGGCAAGGCAACCAAAGCTTATACTCGTAAAATGGTTACTCCATTTACTGTTATCTTTGCACACCTTATGCTTTCTACATATTGATGGCCCCACACTAATCCAAATTATACGCTTTATTCACCGGAATACATTTAAAGTACTTGACTTCCCCAAACAACCCTGTGAACTGTATTTTGTTAAGGTTACTGGGAATTGTAGGTTTGTGAGGGGTAAACTACACTTCCCAGAATCCTATGGGTGGAATTAATGTAGTTTAAATGTATGGCATGTATGAAGCCTGTGTGTGTGATTATTGACTGTCTCCTGTATGCGCAGAACCTAGTGGAAATTCATATCATATATTCTGCGTATCATATCTACTGTAAAAACCAGGCACACTGCTTTCTGATAATATTCTACTTACGAATCCTCCATCTCTACCTCATCAAACCACATTTCTTATTGAGCTTTTCCCTTACCTAACCTATCCCTCCATGTTATTGATTCCTGTTGCCATGTGTTTATCTAAGATCACTGCATGCTCCCCCAAAGCTTAAGAGCAGCCTTGACACCCAAACATCTGCATGTCGTATGTGGTATAATATATATGTAACATACTTGCTTTCCAGTTTCCTCGTTCAACCCTGAATTATTCATTGTTCGGATATGGATGTGGGCTTGTATTGACTGTTGAGTTCTTTCATGTTATAGCCTGTTTACTTTAATGTTTTCTAGCACACATCCTTTTACCAGCAGCAACATCTGGTGCAACCTGAGATGGCATACATGCTATTCTTTTTGTACTCCATTTTTCTTGCTTTCTGCCCTAAGTTGACTGCCTGTCTTCTTTCTTATGGTTCATGGGTTGGAAAGTTGTTGATAATTTCACCTTCTATGTACTTGATGTGAATTTTCAAAGGCAGGCTGGGAAGGGTGCTTACCATGTATGCTTATAGCACAATCCAAAATAGCTGCTCGGACATTCTGTTGAATTCAGCTGAATTCTCTTGAGGGGAGGGAACAGGGCTCATTGGTAGGGCACTTGATTTGAATGCAGAAGGTCCTTGGCTCTCAGTCCCTGGCATCTCCAGGTAGAGCTGTGTTTGTCCCCTACATAAAATCCCAAAGAGCCACTGCAGTTTCAAAAAAGCTGTCCTAGATTCACCAATGATCAGACTTGGTCTGCAACAGTTCCTGTGTTCACCCAGGGAAGTGAGGTTAGAATTGCAGCCTTATTCTTCTAGGATTGTCTCACCTATAATAATAACCACCTTAGTCACATGCATCAGTTTCTGAAATTGATTTATCCTCTTATCCAGCCACACTTTCCATTCATAGCCTGTCTGGAACTTTTTGTTTCAGCCCTGCAATTCCATTTATACCATTAGACTTCTAGGCATCACACATTGCCTTCTCTTGGCGTTGATATTAACAAGACCTGGCTCCTATATTTAGTTTTGGCTTGTAATTTTTGCATTTGTAAAATGATCCCCTTGGATGTGAAACGAGCCATCTGATTTTACAACTAAATTAAAATACAACCATGTTGACGTTGGAGGCTCCTACTATCATATCATCCTTTCTCCCAATGCGTGGATTCTGAGTGCCCTCCCCAAATCATCTTCAGCTCCTCAGGTTTGAACAAGAGTCGAAAAAACTCTTGAGTGAAGGGCCCTAGAAAGTATTTGCTCCCTACAACTCTCATTGGAGAAAGAATCTGTATCACAAGTAACCTAAGATCCATTTATGGCATCTTCATCGTTCCTCTAATAGCAACCAAATGTTCTGTTCAGATGTGCTCCAAGAAAATCTCTGTTTTATTACTAGACTTAGAGTATTCAATTACTGTGCTAATTTAAAGTCGGCAGTAACACCTACAGAAGAGGAAGTCTAAACTGAGCCCGTGACAAATGCACCAAGACACTGTGTCCATCAGCCAGCTGACTACCTGAGACTGTGCTCTGCACCCTTCATATGGGAGGGTGCAGACTGCTTAAAATGACTGAGAATCTCAGTAATGTGATAAAACAATTCTCAAAGAAGTTAAGTTCTCATTGGAGTATAGAAGTCCATGTTTTCCTCTCATGTATTTCTCCTTCCCAAGAACCTGTTGGGTTGTAAGGCCAGCCCTTTTGGTAGGCAGACTGAGGTGACTGCCTTAGGCAGGAGGGAGGAGAAATTTGATTCAGTTTGTATTTAAAAGCTACCTAATTTGCACTGTCTGAAACAATATGTGAATCAAAACCCAGTCATCCTCTGGCATTCACACGTGTCTGAACTTAGCAGTGCAGTTCTCCAGATGAGTAATATGTACAAAAATGCATATGCTGGAGGCAAAGTGTGCGTT